TCTTTCTATTTATTTTATTTTTAAATGTAATTCATCTATGTTTTCATACTAAACCAAACTTTAAACAAGTTTGTTAACTAGTAATGAATAATAATGTACATATAATATTTACATACAGTGGACGAAAAAAAATTTGGGCGCACAAATTTTGGCAAGTTTTCACAATTCTTTTTTTTTTTGTTATTTAATTTGAGATATTTTTTTATAAAAATGTAGATCATTCTTTAACAGAACCCGTTTAAATCCAAGTTAAAAATTTTGTGCACTATTAAAAAAAAATTCAACAAACTCTCGTAAAAATGTCGAGCTTTTAATTAGATTTTCTAGAAAAATTTTAAGTATGCAGTTATGTAGCCCACTCAATTCTAATACAAAAAGTGACAGTTTTAAGTGCCTAAAAATTTTCCTTTTAGATTTTTTTTTTGCCGAAAGTGTTGCGATTTTAAAATTAATTGTGTTCAATCGTAATATAAAAGCAAATGCGACAAACCAATTTCAAAAAAATCAACGATAATTTATAAGCTTTGAAACTTTATTGTACTAGAATTGACCGAGCTACAAAACTGTATAGGGCTCATTCCACGGTGAAGGGTGTGACATCAAAACTTTTTTACACAATTTTTTTACACCGAATTCCTCACAAAAACAAAGTTCAACCCCCGCTTCCTTATGTAAACTAAAATTCCCCACAAAAAACGGTCCATTCCCCGATTCCCCACACAAACTGCAATTCCCCGCAATTGGGGGAATTCCCCAAGAGTTGGCGTCGCTGCCTCCAAATTAAATGTCAAAATTGTGTTTTCTCCTTGCAAGTTTACTGGGTTTTTGGCCAAACGACCACGATTTGGTGACATTTGGTACCAACTTTACAAGTTTTTTGTATAGCGAGCACTCTTTATCTATCGCAGCTATTTTATAATTTTAGAAACTTAACGATTTTTTTTTCATTTTAAAAGTTTAAGATACTTTAAAATGTCAACGTTAAAAGGTAAAAGTGTACCAAAAAGAACAAATTTAGAGTAATAAAACTAGTGTGCCACCAAATGAAAAAAATAGGTACATTGATTATAAAATGACGATGATTTGCGAAAAAATTCCAATTTTACAGTTTTTATTGGCACACCAGAAATTGACTCTGAAGCTGTTATATGCATGAAGAAGTTAATATATAAAAAATTACGAAATTAATATGTAAAAAAATATTCCACGCATTACTTTTAAACAGGGATACAACAGTTACAAGTTTTATCGGAAAAAAGTTTTTTCATAGCAGTTATTAGATGAGAACTATTTTTTATTTTGTTATGCAGGACAAATATATACATATGTTCTCCGCCGACAATACTTATGTATTTCCCGACGTTTATTTGTTAATTTACTTGAAAACAGTTATTCCACTACTTTTTAACCGTCTTCCAAAAAAGGAGGTTATCAGTTCGTCGGAATATATTTTTATTTTTTTTTATGTCCGCATAACTTTGGACCACGATAATGGAACCGATTTCGATAATTATTTTTGCATCGGAAAGGTAGTGTCTCAGAGGTGGTCCTATACTAATCTGGTTAAGATCCGATCAGTGGGTCATGAGATATATATATATATATATATTTTTAAATGAGAGTTGAAGTAGGTTTTTTTTAATAAAAATTACTTGTTTATTTTCATCATCTTTATCTTCTTCTCCATCTCTGTTTCCCTCAAATGTTTGGTAATAACTGTTATCAAGCAACGTAAAAAATAAACGTTGGGCAATAACTGTTATCAAAAAAAGAAAAAATAAACCTTGGGTCATAACTCTTATCGGCAAAATAAAAAATATTTTTCATTCAACCGCTGAAACAACCGTCATATCGGTTGTGCAACCATGCTACCTATTCAAGTTTTAGCGTGGCGTCAAACTCCGGACAAAGCGGATGGTTACTTTCAAATCAATAGCACTCACGTTTTTTGGAAATGTAAAAGGCACAACACTACAACATAAACCAATATTGCCAGATGGAGGAATGTATTGTCCTTAATGGAATTGTACAGCAATTAGGAAAGCATTTCGATGGTTCAACAAATCAGCCATTGACGTAAGTATGTACGTGCTCATAGTCCGGCACCGCGGCCGGAGACTCGCCCTAAAAATGAGCGTAGAAGAAGCAAATGAAAGAGAGCAGAATGCAGCTAATAAAGAGAGCACAATATTCATGATGAGATCAAGGGTACCAAGTTATTTGCAATACCTATTAACACCTTGAAAAGTTCTATGAATTTCTTAACACACAACACCGGAATATATTTGTAGCACAAATGCAATGGTTGCTAGTTTATATGCTGCATATCCTAGCTGCATCACTGAGCTCTTTACATCTAATTAATAAATCATTTGATGAGCCACTTCAGCAGTAACGACACTTGTACAGAAAAACACACACACTTGATAACCCAGTCATCCGCTGCATACAAATATATTAACTTGAGAATGATAAAACATGTTTTTTTCTTATCTTATTTTTTCTAAAGCCAGCATTGGCATTTGCCAAATTCTTATCAGTAACTCTTTGGCAACTGCTAATAACTGAGATTGTCTTTGACGAAGCTTAAATGGTTCACTGGGAAGACACTTTGCGCACCAGGCAAAGGGCGGTGACAACAGTTGATCACTTTTCTGTGCTTCTACTTCTTAGATCCCCGCTGCTTTCTCTTTGCTATACTTCTTATTCACACTTTTCACTTTTTTATTTCATGTACAATTTTTTTATATTTTACCTTGCAGCCATGATAAAAACATAGCAAGGTATAACCGTTCTCTCAATTTGTCGGCCATGATTTTTTTTTGAAGTTTGCCAACATTTTAAAATCATATAAANAAACTCTGGCAAACTTAAGAATTTCTACGATTACATTGACAGCTACACCTTACAAATGTTCAACACTCGAATGGATTGCACTTGCAGCAAACATAACAAATACTAGTGCGGCACGAGCAAATTCAAGTTATTTCTCAAAAGCAATTTGCGTCCTTTGAGTTGCAATAGACCTACATATTTTTTAATTCCGAAAGTTTTTCCTACAGATTTGCCAAAAGTGCATAATATATACCCTCTCCTTTATTTCTTTAGGAAAGAGTGAGGCAACAGGCTGATGAATTATTAGATGTCAAAGTTCCTTAGACACACACACGAAATAATGGCAATTTTTCCTTGACCGTTTTCTTGAGAACTGCATATTGCCCTTTAAAGACCAAAATAAGGTATATGTGAATTACTATTGCTAGCATATTGTCAAAGTTTTTTTTGCTGCATACATACTTTTTTAAATCATGGTAGCATACCTTCTACGCCTCATGCTTTGTTGTCAAAGTTCGTACTGTCAAGCTAAGCGAGTAAAGACGTATATAAACGGCCCTTTAGGACTTGTTGGTGGTTCTTTGCCTATTCAATTGCAACTCTGCCAAACAACGAAACTTTTCAAATCGAACAAAGCTGCAAATTGACGACGTGTTTCGCAATTGGAGCGGGGATAATTTCTAGCTTTTCGAGGAGAAATAATATTTAATTACAAGAAAACATGGATCGACGGTAGTATCAGTATTTGAAAATTATACAAAATCGTAAATGTATATATTTTTAGCAAAGCTTTGGCCCTAAGAAATAGAAGACTGCAGGATCAGCAGCGGCACGCGGTCGATGCACAAAATCAAAATGGCTTCAGTCAAAAGGAAAATAGACAAAACTCGATTGTAAGTGACTGGAGATACTACTGAAAATCATAAATTTTATTAATTGCTTTCAAACAGAGCTCTCCCAGCAGTACATTGAAAGAGGGCAACAATGCGACTGGTATGACTTTGCCAAAAGGCGATTGCACCGCCTGCCGGAAGCAGGCAATTTGTGTTTGCCAAAGGTGTGGCGATTATTATTGCTCACCGGAATGTCAGCGGAAAGATTGGCAAAGTCATCGTTACATATGTTTTCCGATCCCGTAAGTACCTAAAATTATCATAATAGTTAAGGTAAGATAATTGTTCGGAGTATTTGTCCATGTCATAAAAAAAATGTTTTCTGTACGGAGTCCCTCCGGCGCACAATACGTGTGGTATCCGGATAATCAGGTACTGGTTTAATTATTG